CCCGGCTTGAGGAGACGCACCCGCACTAGCTCTCATCGAGCGGGAGAGCTAAAAATAGAACGTAGCCATGGCAACATGAGCAGCGGGATGGGCTAATTGTCCTCACTGGAGATCTTAGGCACGTACTCGGTGGCTACACTCTATTTGTAACGCACTGGCCCATTGAGAGCTTGCGCAGGTATTTCTCCTGGAGCTGGGATTCACACCCCAGCTCCCGCTGTAGACAGACCTTTTCTGATAACCTGGAGGGTAGAACAGGCTGTGTACCAGCAGTGAGTTCCCTTGACTTAATGGCTAAAAGCACTTTTCTCCAGGGCTAGATTTGCTTTTCTTTTTAATATAGAAAGGGTAAAGTGAATTTCAAGTGTTCTTGAAGAGTCTCAGCAACTCTGCAGAGATCAAGCTGAGATTTTATGAGTCCCATTACAGAGAGAGAGAGAGAGAGAGAGAGAGAATACCTGACGTCCTTTAATGGGATTGGAGATTTATCAGTGTGTAGATAAAAATAAATTGAGATTTTATGGGAGGCAGAATTCTCCAAAGACGCTTTCAACAGATTTCTGAAAAATGCTATTTGCCGCTCCTCTGGCGTATGAGAAGAAGAGAATTGTTCTTCTGAGAAGACAAGATTTGTGCATGAAGAATCTCCCCATCCTTCTCACCGCTTCCTGCAGCCTACTGAAAACAACCCTGTTTCAAATGGGGTCCTCTGGGCAAGCGCCTGGTATAAAGGGTTAGATGCAAGATGTTGAGAACCATTAGGGAGAGATGTCCACCAATGTAATCTAGTGGTGAGAGTAGCTAGGCTCAAACAGATGGCTGGGCAGTAGTCAGCGTCTCCTATAGTAGGAATGACATTTGGCACTTTTGATCCGATGTCCACGGACTCTTCTCCCCTCTTGCTTGCCACCTGCAAACGTTTAAATCTACTTCCTACCAACTGAAAACCCTTTTTGCACAGTCATAAATGAATCCCTAAGACATTGTACCCCATTGTATATGAATCTTGTAGGCCATTTCCATGCTTATGTGATGGTATTTGCAGTCAATGATACAATAAAATCTTAATTAAGGAAAGCACTGTCATTGTCAATTTGTTCACTTGGCAGAAGTCTCAAGCAACATAATGCTTTTACTATTGTCTGGTAACCATCTGCAGCTAAGCACCCTGTCTAAACAGCAGTGTTAACCCCTGGGAGTGAGAGGCAAAGTAAGAACTGTGAGTGTGTGTTCCCCTCCACCTTCTTCACACATAGTAACTGGGAGATGTATCTAACTGGCATCTTGGCAAATTCATAAAATTGACCTCTATTCATTCTTACATAGCACACGGAATTATCAATTAAACATGCCCAGCCAATCCTGGGAATCTTCCAGTTCTAAAAAAGGAGGCTGAGAAGAAAGGAACAACTACACACTACTGCAATACAAATAAAGAAAGATAATTAGGCAAATATCGTGAGCCTGGATTCCTCGGGAGATTAGTAACGTGATAAAGAGCCCATCATCCCTAGATTGCATATTCAAGTTTGGCCCAGGGTGGTAGTAACCTATAGGTCTAATCATCAGACAGCTGCTCAGTGCCCTTGTGAAAGGAACCGGTTCCAATCGGTTGTCAGGGGTTATGCCCCAAACACCACTAGAAAGGAACGAAAGAACAGCACTGCACGCGGTCAGGGTGCGTCTATACTGGCCCATTTCAGGATCTGTAATTCACCACCATTGCAGCACAATAGCAATCGTGGAGGGTGCAAGCACAGAGTTGGGCTAGACATTTTTACCACCATCCCGTCTAACTCTAAATCGGAGCAGAGTTGGACCACGACAGTGGTAAAGACGCCCGAGAAGCCTCCACCACTGCTACAGAGGAGCTGCACTGGTGATGAATTACAGGTCCTAAAGGTGCCAATATAGTAGCACCCTTACGGGGACATAAAATGCCCATTAGAGGAGTGGTTGGTACATGGCCTATAAGCAAGTGTCCCTTACCAGAGCTAAAGCACTTACAGGTGATTTTCTTATTCACCAAAGAGATCCGAGCTGCAACTACTATAAATAATTTAAATAAATACGAATGCTTCCAATGTCTCGTATTTCTTAAGGTTTCAAGGCCCAGATGTGAGACAAGACTCCAAATCAAAGGAAAAGCAGGAGCACAGGGCACTTAGAGCACTGTGGAATAAATTTCTTTTTGCACAAGTGGCTTAGTCTGAAGTCTCAGTTTCCTGATTTGTTGTTTCTGCTGTAAACAAGTGAGAGCGCGCACACACTCTAAACCAGGTACAGTGGAGAGAGAACACGGAAAAATACTTAACAAGAGGCTGTGGCAAAGTGGCCTAAGCCTCTGGTTTTAAATACTAGCCCCTTGGTAGTCATGGGTTCAAATCTTGGCAGGATCACATCAGCCCTTCACCATCCCAAGATTGATACATCGAGGTCTAAGCCATTTATTGTATGTGGGTCTTCAGGATGAGATTTAACGGTTGTCTGCAGTAATTGCAAATAGATGGTCATTGCACGTTAGCCCAGGCAATTCTGAAAATCTGGGTTCAAGGTCCTGACTGCTCTGCACAGATGATAAAGGTCCTATGCACTTGTTGCCGATCTAGAGATCTGCCCCAGTGGTCAAAATTCCTCCTCTCACTTCTGCCGTGCTGTGCCCCAGACTGCTGCTAAACTGCCACCCTCACATCTCAGCAGTGGCTGCACGTCAGTGGTGAACTATGTATACAGTGTGTAAAGTTCTTTGGGGTGATAATATTTCGCATTTATATGGCACTCTGCCTGTTCAAGGCAGTCTGTAGCCATTCACTAGTTCATCCTTGTGACACTCCTGTGATGTAAACAGGTGAGCGTTATTTAAAATAAAACAGGTGTGCAAACTGAGGCCCAGAAGGGACGTGCCTTGCCCAAGGCCACTGAGAGTCATTGGCAAAGACAGGATTAGAATTCAGGATCTGCTGACACCCAGCCCTCCTTTCGCTGACCCAGATGAGCACCTTGCCTTGTCCTTCCACCCTCTGGGGGGAAACGCTATAGAAGTAAGACACTGAATCTTCTCCCAAACCCATTCATGTGTTTTATTTTTGGAAACTCAAACAATACAATGATTCTGTGTTGTTTTTTTAAATAAAAATCTTTTAAGTGTCTCGTTCCTTTCTAGTTACTGTCTGTGAAAATAATCTTCAAGACGCTGTTTCTTACGTGGACTCGCTGAGCAGGTGTCTGCTCCTGCATCCCGAGAGGCACTCCCGGAGTCAGACTCCTGGCAAGCGTCAGCCGCCTCCACGAGCAAAGCTTCGTCGAGGTCGTCTCCCTGCTCAGAGAAGGTCCTCTGGAAAAGGCTGTAAATGGTCTGTTGCTTTGGGTCTCGCTGTGAAAATAGAGCAGAGAGGTTCTGCACACACAGGGTATTAACAAACAAGCCAAACAGACGGCAATTATAATTAGTTTACAGCTTCTGTTTCCCTCACGGCTCCCCTGACCAATGGAGAATGGAATTCCAGTGCGAGAGGTACCCGTGAGAGAACGGCAGGGACTCGGCCTGAACTCAGCTCTGCCGTTGTGCCCTCTGCAATGAAGCCACACGTCACCGTTTTCTCAGAGGTGGAGAGAGAGGAAGGGGATGATTCGCAAAATGTTGTGGCCCCTTGCATAGGGTTACCATACGTCCGGATTTTCCCGGACATGTCCGGCTTTTGGGGGCGTCAAAGTCCCCGGTCCGGGGGGAAATCCCCAAAAGCCGGGCATGTCCGGGAAAATCGGGAGGCTCGGCCGGGG